TGGGCGGGGCCGCAGGAGCCGTCAGAGGCCCTGGCAGGACACCCGCCCGGTCATGTACCGGCCTAAGGATTTCAACACGTCAACGTTACATCATCTCCTCCTACCGCGTCTGCGAGATTATCCGTAAATTATTCTAAGAAATCGTTTTGCAAATAGCCATGTTAAAGTTCCTAATTTAGAAATAAACCCACACCATGATCCTTCCCTGAAGCAACCACAAAGCGTAAGTTTTCAGACGATCTAAATACAAGTGTTTTTCCTGAAATACTAGGTATTTTTCCCCCAGTTCTCTGTGCTGACAGAACAGAGTAAGGCAGCTTTCCAAGGGCTTGTCCCTTGCTGTTGATGTGAGAATGTTTCTTTCCTATGCCAGGAGAGAATGCAGTTTTTTCAGACGAAAATTTATTTTTTATTGCTTGGGAACAGCAAAAAGGACTAAAATTAAAAAGAAAAACTAGTCTCAATTTACCCAGCAATGAACAAGATCCACCAGTGCTTTTTTGCAGTATTATCCCCAAAATTCAGTTTTGCAGTCTGTCAGAATAAACACCCTAAATTTGAGAAGCTAGACTATGCTGGGAGATCCTTTGTTACATGCAGAGATCCTTTTTTTTAAAGGTGTAAAATTTGCACTGGTTGCATCAACCTTTATTCGCTTTGAATAAAAATGTCTTGAAAGCCTCCAAGTTTGAATCTAAGGAAGGGCAAATGAATCGAGTTGCACAGCGAGGAAGAGTTTAGACTCAAATGCGTCCTTGCAACTAAATGTTGTACAAATAACTTTTCTCTACTGTTTAGATTCTTAGTCTGATCTAAAAGCCAGTATCATGAAAAAGAGACAAGAAACCTCTGCAGAGAAATTCATAACACTGACACATGGACAACACAAGGACACCAGTGACACCACCACTTCCTAAGAGGCAAGTTTTTTTTTTTGTCTTTTCAGCATTCACACATAAACTTCAAATCCTGGAAATAAATACCTGTCCTAGAGTGCTTCACAAATGCTCCAAAGACAACTATCTACAAATGGTACATTCAGCTACTCCATCATTTAACATTTCCAGCAATTGTCACTTTCACAAGTCTGACCTTTCACAGCTGGGAAAGTTGTGTCAGCTACATATTTAAGGAGCAATAGTGCTTATCATCCAAATACACTTTCCACTATCACAGGGCTTTATCAAATGCTGTTCTACAGATAAGAGAAGCTTAAGAAGCATGTGCAAAAGAATCACTGTCAGACTCAACTCATGGCTTCCCCACCATGGGATCAAACCATTGCTTTGAAACCAAGTCAAAAACAGTCATCAGAGTACAGCTGGAATACTGACAATGGAATTCAGGTCCCCACACAAATCAGTAGGAAGAAACACCAGAATTTCACCCCTGATATATAAAACCTTGTAGAGAAACATCAGTAAACAACAGTTTTTAAGAGTCAGCAAAAACTATAAAAAATCCTTGTAAGTCATAAAAACCATTTCAATGTGAAATCTGCAAAATATCACCCTATTTATTCTCTAGGCTTTTCTAGCAACATACAACTTGATCATAACATATCTGTAGAAATCTGACGATTCATTTTTCTTAAATGTAGTTACTTAAACATTTGCCAGTTTGGAAAGATGAGATAAGGTCTCTTTACAGAGCAAAAAACTGCACACAATTTTCATCCTTTTCATTTCTGGTTCTCCATGTCACTGGGGGTAGGGCACGTAACAGTCCAGGGGAGAGCCAACGCTGCTCACAGGGCTCCGGGTATTGGACTCATAAGAATTTGGAGCAATTCCAACTGCACCATCATTCTGAGGGGTTTCTCCTTTCAAGAAGTCATCATCTTCATCCTCAGAAGTACACTGCATAAATTGAAACGGATCAGTGAGAGCAGAAAGATACTCCAGTTCTCTATTAAGGTCTGGCAGAAGTAATGAATGCTGAGACCGTAAAAAGTATTTCTAAAATAAATTCTGAAATGCTGCAATAGTCAACTCTGCTAATCAAAACGTTACAGGAAAGTTTGCGAAGTTACCAGTTAACCAAGCTACAACACCATTAAGTATTTTTATGTACTATCATAGGACGGAAAGAAAAATCTGCCATAGAACAGACATTCTGCAGGAGGGTAGAGAGACTGCACAGGAGCTTTAGAAAGACATCTTCGTCAGGACTCCAGTTGTACTACAATTGTAATGACTAATTGGAATGGAAAGACAATTAGATGTGTTCTTATTACGGTACACAGGAACTCAACCACGTCTACAAAGTGGATTTCCCAGTGACATCAGTGTCCATATTCCATGGTCCTGTGCTGCCAAACTAACTCCACTGCAGAAGAAAGTGTTCTCAAAGAAAGGACAGATCAATCCCTAAAGCATCCTCATTTCAATCAGTTTCTCATAAATGTTTAAGTGTACTCTTATCTACAAAAAAAAAAAAAATCCTGCAAAAGAAGCAGCTGTTTAGAGATTTGGCAAAAGCTGAACTGCATTTTGGTCAGAAAAGATTACCTTTTTAATGGGCTTCTTCAGATTCTCAAGATCTTCAGCACTCAGCTCTTCCCAAAACTGATAAAGAGGATCAATTGTCTTCTTCGATCTGAAAGAGGAATTAACACACAGTATGAGCTCAAGTATTCAGTACAAGTCCTACACATTCTATTTTAATAACACAATATAAGCCGCTTGGCATTTTGACAGGCCTTTGTAGGGTTTCACAAACTATTCAACTAAATAATCCCAAATTCATCCCATGAAGAAATAAGACCATCCTATTGGTAAGTACAAGTTATAATTGTTTACCTGAGGAGTTCTGATACAGTCAGGTCTCCTAATTCCTAGCTGGGCATTTTTAACAGCTACACTATGCTTGCAAATAAGCACCATTTTCTTCTGGATTTGAGAAGATAGTATAATATAGCTTCTTTAGTAATTTCTTTCTAAGAAAGTTCTCACTTCTGTGGAGAGAGATTTGGTTTTTTTAAGAGACCAAAAAAAGCTGCAATGCTGCCCTCTAACATTAAAAAGTTATAAAAGCATCATCTGCAAATAATCTGCTACTTATTAAAAAACAAAGATATTTTAAATAAGATAAAGTCTTCAATCAAGAAGAAATACACTCAAGGTGCAAAAAAAGCAAAACTAAACCAAAACAACAACAAAAATTACACACCACCACCACAGTTTCAAGAAAATATGTATTAGGCTAAAATGATATTTTAGAGACTACTTAAAACAAGAAAAAACAAAAGAGAAGTCATCAAACATACTGATTAGACCTTCCAGGAAACTGAGTCCTGTTCCTTCTTCATCACTACAATGTCACAATGGGGATTAATTTCATTTCAAACCTTTGACAATCTCTGGGTAAAATTTGCAACGTGAAAAGTACTGAAGATCAAAGAAGAAAGCGAACTTAGTTGTAGTTCATTATATTCTACAAGGCAGAAAAGAGTTGAATATTTTTAAACTGTACCTTTTAAGTATGTAGGGATCAAAGGGGAAGAAACTGTCAAGTGGGTTAGTGCATGTCTGCACAAGGTCACCCCCCGTGCCACTCCGAACAACTGGTATGAACTGCCTGTTGTTCCTCTCAATAATTGTGTAGCAGAACACCAACTGGTATTTCCTTCAAAAAGGTGATAAAGAAAAGCAAAGCATCTTTAGCACTCAGAAAGCAAGAATTTCAGACTGCATTAAAATACAAAGTTACTTTAACAAACACAGCTTATATCTTCCGTTTTCCAACTGAAATTAGTTCTCAAGATAGTCACAAGGACTTTTCCTCTGCACAAAGTTCACTGCAAGTATAAACATATTAGCTCCAACAAAGAGCAGTTTTGTAATATTGTAAGATTTCAATGAAACTGAACCAGATGTTAACTTCTCAAATCTAGAATATGGGAAGTGTTATATGACTTGTCTTGGATAATATTTGATACTGTGCCTAACAAAACCCATGTTCTAAGTACTGTGCTGTTTTTAAATACACACACAAGCATGAGTATTTGTATCAAGCTGAAACTGAAATAAATGAGTGGGTACCTGGTAATGGCAGCAAACAAGTTCACAACAGAGGGTATGCAAATCTTCAGGGGATTCAGCTGACACATGACAATGCGCTCAAAATTTAAGCTCTGCAGATATGACAGACCTTGGAAATAAGAACAATTGACAAATACAGGTTATCATATCAACTTAATGTAATTTCTAAGAATTTCCAGTCTGACCAGACTGCACCCTGCGCAACACCACAGAAGCACATCCTAGGGTGCCCTTTTGCAGTAGAGATCCAGCCCACAGCTTGTTCAGTAGAAAATCTGCTCCAAGCAACAGTGACCTGCCATAGCCAAGGGGTCCTTCTAACACAGACACTACACTTACCCACCCATCACAGGGAATGACAGGGGCACAGGTTATAAAAAAAGAGTAATAATTGAAGCCCGCATGAGTTTTAAACAGTTGGAATCCAAAGATGCTCATTAAGTGGGGCCAGGTATCAACGTTGAGGAGTTTCCAGCATTGTTTTCAACAGTAGAGGAACCCAGCAGTGTACAAGCCATCTCATTTTATTTAGAGCAAGACAGCATAAGCAACAGATACTTGACTAAACTGACCATTGCAAATCACATCAACAGTAAAACTTGCAAATGAATGCAAATGCTGCTTGAACCTATTATACTCACCTTTCCTTAAATTTCCATCCAGAAGTTGCTTATGACGGAAAACAAGCGTATAGAAAACAGCCTGGCACGTTGAGTAAAATGGCCCGTGCAGAGCTACATCACAGTAGGCATTAGCCCCTGTGTCCTGGCTATCAATATATTTATGCAACCAGTTCACCAGAAGATCCAGGCATGCTTTAACTGTACTATAATGGAGGAGAAAAAAAGTGTAAAAATAACCTAAATGGTGTAGAGAAGATGTAAACAAGTATTTGAGGATCTTAGTGGTTATAAAAACATCAGTATGAAAATTTCATTGTAAAAAAGGAGATTCAGTTATGAGTTCTCTCCTTCCCATGAATCAATGTATCAGCACTGGAAACCAGTGAAAGCACAAGTTGCCAGCAGAGAGGAACCCACAAATGCAGGTTGTGTGTGACAGACACAGTAAACAATCAGAATCCTAGGTTACAGGTAGTACAGAGACACATCTCCCACATCCAACAAGTAATTTCAGTATCAAATTAAGGTCATAATTTTTGTCACTGAGCCTGCCCTGAACAGCATAAATATACAGAACTTGTACATAAACAAGAAGACATTTTCACCTATCCCCTTAAGTGTTTTAATCCATCTGTATAAAAATTCTTAAACACTTGACTTCCCTGTCTCAGAGCCTACCTAAAATGCCTAACATAGGTCATGAAAAATATCTGGTTCTGAACAAGACATATACTGGTCATCCATGACTCCACCTGAATTAAACATAACCTCCCTTGCTCAGCATTTCTTGCTAAGTGAAGCCTTCAACAGGAAGTCATGAATCCCAGCAATCATTAGTCTGCATCCTGTACATGCACAACTTCCCTGGAAGCTTCAAGACAGTACTGAAACAGTACTGCAGAAAGGACAACTATTGATACAAGCTAACTGGCAAAGCAGTGGGAATAGAACACCAACAGTGTGTCTGCATTCTGTGAATTCTGTGCTTAACCTCAGCAATCACCATAAACTGTTTTGATATCTGAGCAAAACCAAACAACTTACACAACTGGAATGAATTTAGCTCTTGCCAAAAAGCTGCCAATGTAACTCCCCGCAGTCTGCCTGATCACTGAAGGCTTGTTTGGATCATGCAGCTTTTTCCAAAGATGGTCTAAAAATGCCTCAGCCAAGCCCTGTAAACAAGATAGATAGAAACAGTGAGTCCTTATGCTGATGACATTGTTTAAGAAATAGATTCCTAATACTCAATTCCCACAATTTCCATAACCAAACCATAAAAAAAACCCTACCTGTAACTGTAGCAAATTACTGTTACTACACAATGGAAAAGCTCATTTTTTCTGTGTCTTTTTCTATATTAAATTGTTTAATGTAAACTGAACCAGAAAACTAGAAAAAAAGTGTTTAAAAACAAGAGCAGTAAGAAGGAAAACATGAAGTGATTGCTCACTGTCTCCTGTAGCAGAGGAGGTCAGAAACGTTCAATGAAAACAGCAGGAAGTGAAATTTAGATAAACAAAAATGATTCTTCATCTTAAATGGTTATATAATGGAACTTTTTGCCACACAAGTAAAGTTCATGATGCCAAAAATTCATGTCAGAACAAAAAAGCATAACATGAGCTTAACTAGATCCTTAGCTACTGCTCTGCAAAAAGCATCCATGTCCTTACTTCTGTAGGCTAAGAGAAAGTTTGCTTGAGAGAAATGGGAAAACAGGGAGAGGAGGAAAAACAAACAGCAGACACCGATTTCAGTTTGAAAAGCTAACACAAACTGTATCTTCAGGATAGTCTGGGGATGATGAAGAAGCTTTCTGGAGCACTGTTTCAGGTTCAAGACACTAAATGACTCTTGTAAAAGAGGACTGTCAACCAAGTTCCTTCCCACTAGCTTAGATTCCAGCTGTTTGTACTTTTATGAGCAACAGGCAAAAAGCAAACACACAAATTAAAACTTGAAGAAAGGAGTAACAGAAGGGAAAGAAAACAAAAATACTAACAAATCCTGATGTAGTATCTTCAGACAAATGGAAGGCAGTACTTGAATTACAGCAGAAAACAATTATTTTTTGTGAAAAAAGCCAAAACAAGGATGCAGAAATGACAGAAGACACTGTACTTAAAAACCAGCTTCTACTCACCAATTTAAAGCTACAGATGTAAAACATGAAATACTGTACATGACATGAAGCATGGGTTGGTAAAATGAGCTTGTCAAAAACAGAAACCAGGTCTCGATACAAATCCTTTGTGTTGCTGATATCAAGCTTGCCTACACAACAGAAGAAAACAGAAAACAATGAGCCATTTCAGGTTATATTTTTCCTCTCATGCTGCAAAAGTGGCATTTATGTCCTTCTAAACCACTAAGAACTATGCAAAGAAACACTGTCAGCCTGACTCCTTGGCTTATCCAACATCTAAAAAATATTTATAGCAAGACCTTTTGGGACTTCAGTTTTACTGCCTTTTATGTTGGTGTATGTGGATAATATCTGTATATGTACATGCACACACAGGTATAAAACTGGCTGGCTTGTAAACTTTGCAATAATGTCTTAATTTAGAAAAACCAGAAGAAAACACTAAGTTACCTGACTTACATGAAGAAGATAAAGCAAAATGGTTTCTAAATATTCTATTTTAAATACATAAATCTAACAAATTCAAACTCTTAATAAATTCCAGTGTAAGACATTTTATTCAGGGATTTTCCTATAACACAAAGCTTTGCTGTAGCAACTCCAATTGAGTGACGTGGCTGGTTGTTTTAATCTACTTCCGGTCCTTGTGATGTTGAAGGGATCCACGACTCAAGGCAATGCAGTAGAGCAAATGATAAAACACTGTGGCTAATCAGGAAGTATTTCTAATCCCCAAAGCTTCATAGCACAGTGAAAAAGCAAAACTGTTTGTTTACCTTTATATATGTAAGGGCACAGTCTGGACACAGTGTCCTATTTATATAATCAAAATGTTTCCAACTGAAGACAACATCTGAAGTCATAAATGTACCTTTGCATTCTCTGCAAACAACACTGGGCAGGGTCAGGAATGCAGGCTGCTGATGGCAGAATTCTGCTGCTGAAGGGTGAAGGCTCTACCTTGCACCAGCAGAAAGTAACAACTCCTCTTATGCTTTCCTTCCTTGTTAGCAAAAGAACAGATTTGGTTATAGTTGTTCTTACCATCTACATGGCAAACATCTTTAATGTAGGAAAATAGGATGGTCATCAAAATATCAAGGCGCTCTGCAAGTGGATGGGCCATTCTCTCACTACTAGGAGAGACAACTTTGTTTCCTTTTTTTTCCTCATCTTCCTCCTGGTAGATAAAATGGCAGTTATGCAGCTTTTAGATGTTCCTATTACAGGAAAAGTGAAACTGAACTTCGCCTTCAGTGACATGCTACAGTTTTGACTTTTTTTTACAAAAACAGTATCTAGTTACACAGCTGAGAGGAAGCAAAATTCCATTAACTGAGCAAAATGCCATGAATTCTTTACTTAGCTTTATGCATAGCTGCTTGTGTTTTTACATAATGAAGTTTGATTCACTGCATATACACTGGGTGTTTAAATTAATGAAGATATCGTGTGGGGAAAACATTAACCATTTGTCAGCTGTTCAGGTGTCAGAAGCTGCGTGCAGTGCAGTAACAACAAAGCTAAAACACAGTAATAACAAAACAATGTATTACTCCACTGGCTCAATTTGCAGTGTAGTTAACAACAAAGCAGTAATATATTCATACAGTGCCTTGGTTCCTAGCCACCTCAAAAGTGAAAATTTTACTAAAATTATCTTTACTAGAACAAGATAACCAACCATGTCAAAAAGTCCCTCCTCTGTAGATTTTTCCTCACTATCAGAGTTATTAGCAGCTTCTTCAGCATCTTCAATATCTTGCTGTGGAGTACTAACCTACAGTTGCAAACAAGAAATCGATTTTCATAAAACCATGACAATAACATGAAAAGTTTATTATTTATATAAGAAATGACAAGTAATTTCTAGACTAGATTTCATCCTTGGCTAAATAAACATTTTAAAAGGGAATGATGTGTATGTTATACACAAACATACACTCTAAACTGTCTGAAACTTTACCTCCAGAATACAAGCTTTCCCCAGACTCCTACAAGCTGAGGTTTTCCAAAATAAAAAGCCTGAATAATTTACAATGCTATCTCTCCTTTTTTAAGACTAAATCTTTTCGCTTGAAAGGGATGATAAACCAGATCAACCCCAGAAAGAGAGGCACATTCTGTGCACATTAGGACTGATCACCATGAAGGAGTTAAATTGATTCTGGCACAGAGATCCTATGCAGGATGTGTCTAAGTACACATCATACAGTTCCTCTCAAGTGTATGAACACCTTAAAACTGGGAATACATCATAAACTTGGTTTTATACTCATGATCACGAGCACTAATGTAAATTATTTTTTTTGTTTAGCTTAACACTGAAACAGATTTAAAAACCAAACTTCCCCAAAAGGTGATTCAGAACAAACTTACATCCAGCTTCAACAACCTTTCAATAATAAGCTCCAGAATCTGAAGCCTCAGAGTGGGGAGGTACACTGTAACTCGTAGCAGGTTATGAACATAACATTCCTATAACAGAAAATTAATTGATATCTGTAATAATGTTAACAGGAAGTCTCATTTCTGCCAAAGATTTTTAGAAGTTTCTTAGTTTGTTATCTAAAGAGCCAGAAATAGGTTTAAACAGACTGTATTCAATCTAGAATAAATTAATGTATAAACCACACAACAACTTTCAACTGTTAAGCTGTGTTATCATTAACTTCTTAATCTACTATTTCCATGCAAATTTTCCCAACTATCTCTAGACAGAATGAGTATAAATACTCTCTAAGAAGAGTTATTAATTTCCACAATTTGGGTCTAAACTTTCTTGAGAAAAGTTAGAACAAGTATATTCCTCACTACACCTACAGCCATATATAGTATAACTGTTTAAAGTGAGATAGAATTCATCTTTATTTCAGGTTATTATAATATAGCAACAGCAGTTCTAAATTCCACAGTTAAGTCTCCTGAGTTCTGATTATAATTCAAACAGTTCACAGTCAAGTTCTGTAAGCGTGCATCTGCCCTCCCATGTATGCACACATAAGTAAACAGATAACTTTGCAACTTTCACATGGCAAAACTGTCAAGTCAATCCATACAATTAGGCAAAGTGTCACATTTAAGTACATTAGTCTGTCTGTGAATACGCATTATAACACAACCTTCAATTACATGAGCACATGCCATTTTTCCACAGGCCATCTGGCTAGCTCAGTATATCAAATGGATAGAGCTGGTTTAATGAGACTGTATAAATTGGAAATACTTAACAATGCATGGACTTTTTTTTCTTCACATTTCATTTAAACCTTGCCCTGAAAAACAGTTATGAATTTCTTCACAACTTGCTCCTCACTGAGCTGCTACATAAATACAAATTCTTCTCTTAACACCATGTAAGAGCTGTTATACCCCTCATTTTACAGACAGGGAACTGATGCTTAAAGTTACGTGGATTTAAAAAAAACAACAAACAAACCCCAAGAAGACTAGTAAGGTATACAGAGAACTTCAGGACTTCTTTTTTTCAGTACTTGATGAGGTCAAAATAACAAAGATTCTTAAGCAATACACTCAAAAAACTGCATTCAACACCACCAAATCAGCTGTCATACTAAAGAGTATATTTACACATTCAAAACCAAGTAAATCACAAATATTCACAGCTCTTACCAGAGTCCTTTCTGATTTATTAATGAAAGGGAAGTTTTCCACAAGTATTGGCATGAGAAATTGTGGTGTCCTACAATTTAAAAAAAAAACCAACAAAAAACCAAAAGAACCAAACAAAAATTATTGAAGCTGCAACACTCTATAAAGACAGACTGCAATAAGCTTATTACAAAGTAACTTGATTTTAAGATAAGTAATAGTATAAAATCTGTTCCTGCAAGGATCACCAAACAGATAATGAGTGGCCAACTTCCACTGTGGAGTTGTGAGAAGCCACTTCAAATATCTTGCTATAAACACAACTTCCCCAACTTCCTATTTCCATTATCAGGATTTTCAGCTGCTTATGCTTATGAAAATTTCATAAGATCTGGAAACAGTATTCCACCAGTTGGTGAATATTAGGGAGTCATGCAATGAACAAAAGGTGTTATACTGCCAATTAAGAGAAAAAAAAAAAAGAGTACATCAGGTCACAAGCTTTAAATCTGGAAGGAAAGTGCACACAAAGCCACAGGACCGTATACTTACGAAGGAACGTATCTTGCAACAGTTTGTAATGCTCTGTGGCAGGTAGTAAAGTTTTCAGAAAGGTCTAGAGAAAGAAAATCAACTCTTACACATTTGGTTACAGAAAACTCCATCAGGAACCAACAAAAACAGTTCACATTAACGGAATATTTTAGAGATTCCTAAGGAAATTGCATTTTTCAAAATGTTGGGGGATTTGGGAGTTCTGGTTTGTTTTGGTTTTTGTTTTTTTGAACTATCTACTACAAAAATAAGGATAAAAAAATAATTCCAAATAAAATTCATGGCATCCTATCAATAAACTCTGACTGTGCTTCTAGCCCCAAAGCCAGCTATTTTTGCTGCATGCTCTCATACTGAACACTAAGCATGGAATCCATAATTTATTCCACAACACACAAATATTTAGAAGATATGTTAAATCCAAGTCTGTAACTATATAAAATCTATCTGAAGATTATGCCTCATTTTCATAAGAGTCAAACAGATAATTAGGCTTCTATTTTTTTTAATCCAGTATCACAAGTGAACAGCAAAAGAGTGGATCCTCACAGGCAGAAATTTATTCCAGCATTCAAGATAAAAACCTATGAAATTCTTGAAAGACATTCAGCTGTTTGCCTTATCAATAAAGACACTAATTAGGCAGTATTTCTGCTAAAAATGTTAATTGTATTTGAGTTTAGCACAGGCAGAGAAACACAGACTAAAGAACCCCCAAGCAACCTTGCTTTATTGAGGTAAATAAAATGGAAAACAAACAACTCCAAGTTTTCTTTGGCTTTGAAACAATCTAAGAGTAGGAATGTTTTCCTAAGCATTCTGGCTTATTCTCACAGAGGGTGCATCAATAGAAATACTTTGAAATGGGGTGGGTCCCCACATCACTGACTTGAGTACAGGACAGTCTTTCACTTGGACTTTAAGGATGTACTGTTTCTTCATGTTTTTACATTAACTCAGCTAAATTATTTTTGTAAAAAAGGAGCAATATGCACTGCATGCTTCTTTGGTAAAGGTGTTACAGCAGCATATATAAGCCATGCTTCCTTTATACTCACTGTCATCATCATCATCAGAATCTGAAATATCCACATCATCTTCTCTGATGGTTATTCGAGCTAGCAAAAAGTGAGATTATTATATAAAAATTGTACAAGTATTACATATAACAGTTTGAATGCCAAATCAAACACACTGGCCAAGTCTTCATCAGGACTAATGCATCAAAATTATCTGTGAGACTTTCTACAATATGCAGCAGCTCATCAAAGCCTGTTTCATTCACAGAACCAGGAGGTTCTTGAGACCATCCGACAAAATCCTCACTGCAGATTTTGGGTTTCAGTAATTACAAAATTATACAGTTCATCCTTTTCCAAGACATCTTCATAAATGGGGTCTGCATGAGCCACCAGAATATGCCTGCTAAAATCTAGGTACAGAAAACCATCCGTATCACAATTCAGCCATTCAAGCTAAACAAGCCATCAACTGAAAAATAAACCAACCCAAAAACTGTGTTACACATTATATCTACAGAAAATTTATTTAGGAAAGGTGTTTTGATAAGCAAAGAAGACGACGAGAAAAGTAACTTACGGGGGACAAACTGTGATACAATCATCCGGAGACATGGCCTGAGATGGACAGTTTGTGCTGACACCAGATTGCCAAGAAAACCCAGATATTCTTCCACTACCTCTCGGCTTCTTCTCAACCATGGCAGCTTCTGAAAGTTAGCAAAAATTAAGGTGTAATAAAAAAGATGTTCTGAGTAGTAAACTCTTCATCTTCCCATAAAAGGAACCAGTATTTACCAGCAGAATGCTGACCAGTTGTTCTAGCTCTTTAGTCAAATATGCAACGGCAGCTCGAAATTCATGCAGCCAATTAATGATCTGGGCATCCTTAAAAAAAGAAGAAAAATAGGTCTCTGTTCCAATAAACAGCACTACTACTAATAGAAAATAAGAAAAATTCTCAAAACGGGAAGTCAAATATTAAGATGGTTAGTAAAAATTATTTTCATATCAACATACATGGAATTTCTTTATGTCCTAACTAATCAAGGATCTTGCATGCAAAACTAAACACCTGTCAACTGCTAAACTAACAGCCTGCCTGGAAGGCTGAAATTACAGGCAGAGCAAGGCATGCAACCTCACTCATGCAGAACATACTGGAAAATTTGACCTTAATTTTCTTTTATTTTTGTTCCAGTTTAAGCAGAAGGAACATCCAAATCTTGTAATCATAAAATGGTTTGGGTTGGAAGGGACCTGACAGATCTTCTACTTCCAACCCCCCTGCATGGGCAGGGACACCTCCCACCAGCCCCAGTTGCTCCAAGCCCCACCCAACCTGACCCTGAACGCTTCCAGGGATGGGGCAGCCACAGCTTCTCTGGAAAATCTAGGCCAGTGTCTCACCACCCTCACAGTAAAGAGCTTCTTCCTAAATCTTCCCTCTTTCAGCTTAAAGCCATTACCCCTTGTCCTTCAAATCTTTACTCCTTGTGCTCTCTTACCTTGATGTCTGGATCTGACAGCTGATGCTTTAGCAACTCAAAATCTGCGGTCTCACCCTAGCGGGGGAAAGAAAAACATGCAACACTCAGATTTTTTTTCCAGCCAAAAAATAATAAATGTCATCAATGCACGTGAGCAGCCGGTGTTATGAGCAGTCACGCGAAGAGCAGCGCTCAGCAGGGACGCCCAGGGCTGAAGCAGCAGCAACAGAAGCTGAAGCAGCAGCAAAGACACCGCAGCTGCCGGGTGATGTGCAGCTCTCCCTGCTGACACAGCTGCCGGCGGCTGACTCAGAGGGCAGAGCCTTTCCCCGGCACAAGCCCGCAGCGCTGCCGCCTTCAGAGTGGGACACGGTCTGTGTCAGACGAAACGAGCCCTCCCAGCGGAAAGGCAGCCCGGGGAGGAGCCGCCCCCCGCGCTCACCTGTTGGTACTTGAGCAGGATGTCGGTCAGGGTCCCCCCGAACCGCACCGTCTTCCTGGGCGGGGGGCTGATGAACTCGTCCCCTCCCAGCGTCGCGGGCACGGGCCTGGGGGAAGGCGAAGCTGCGTCAGCACCGCGGGGTCCCCGCGCGCGCCCCCCACCCC